TTTATTTTATTTTATTTTATTTTATTTTATTTTATTTTATTTTATTTGTTGACAAAGCACCAGAGAGTGTTTTAAAATTACTGTGTGCTGCACAATCTAACTTTAACATACAGCAGAGACTTCCATTATCTTTATATCTCCTCCTGAAATTATGTAGTTATTTAGTCAAGGAAGTTTTGCACTATCTATACATTAAGAAATACCAGGCTTTTGCCATTTCCCAAGACATCATTGGTTTATATCATAAAATGAAGATGACAGCTTCAGATACAATAAGTGAAGTTTTTAGTTAAAAATACACAAATAAAAGAAAATCCTGAAGTGTGGTAATCAAAGCCCATAATTCCTCAATGAGCATGGGGAAGACAGAGGATCACAATTTATAGTCTAGCATGGCCTTTATAGCAGAACTAAAAGAGAGAATGAGAGAGAGACTACTGTCAATGATTACATTTTTTAGTAGTATACTGTTTCTATTTTGATATTTGTTGTCTAGATAAAAATATGTGTTATTGCGCATTTTAATGAATAACACAACGCAGTCCACGTAAAATACTTTCAAAGTATGACATATGCAGCCAAATTTGTTAACTTACTGTAAAAGACCAGCAACATCACAATTATGAGTCTGAAGGGATCACCTCACAGGAAAGCTTCTAATGAGGTGTGAGAACCTCATCCTTTTTCTAGTTCTAAGTCATTTTAGCTGCAAAGTTCTTCGACTCCATAACTTTCTGTTTAATGGAGCAGATGAGTCCTCAGGGGGAAAAGTGAATTTTTGCCCAGCGATTGCTAGCTATACATCCTTGCCTTTCTTTCCCCATGACCTTTTTGGTCTGCATTACATTTTCTGTTTCTTTTGCATTTTGTTTTGATGACAAAGTTATTCAGACTACAATTCAGACTCATCTGGTAAAGAGGTAAGAACAGGGAGCAAAGATGAGCTTGTTGTTTTGACAGTGGCATATTATTGTTTTTTTTTTTGTTTTTTTTTTTGTTTTTTTTTTGGTATTGCAGGACTATTGAAGTAACTATTTAAAATGGCCGCTAGTTAAGCCCACTATTTAAGCTGTGGTGGTTCTGCCTAGCTCAACTGCCATACTCCGTGGCCAGAGGCCATGTGCATGATGCAGCTGGAAATGCCCAGCTCTGTCACCCACGAGATGCCAGCATGGGAGATGGCTCTGCCAATCTCCCATGCTGTCTCCACAATCCTTGGCTGAGCCCAGACCATCCCACCATCCATGTGGGCTCAGTACAAATGAGACTCCAATGCCTAGACTATCCAAAGGCTTTATATGTTTGGTAGTGCTCAACAACAAGATGTCCATACAATCAGAGGTGTAACCCAATATCCAACCTAGATATACCAATTACCTTTGACTGCTAGAGACATGGGCACATCTGCTTCCATGTTGGTGTCTCTCTCTCCTGCTCTCCTAGCTACTCCTCTTCCTTCTCCTCTTCCTCTCCTTAATCTTCCCACTTTAGCTCCTCCTACACAGGACCAAAACAAAGAGTTTAGGATTTTGTTGTATTTAC